GCAACATGAATTCCACCCTGTTTGAACCATTAACAAACCAAAATGCTTGATGATTGAAAGTAAACAAACCTAATGAAAAAAAATCAATCACTTAACAGAGCAACATCAATGGATGCCACTCGACAATTTTAAACCAAAAAATCAATCACTTAACAGAGCAACATCAATGGATGCCATTCAACAATTTAAAAACAAAAAAAATCTCCAAATTAGGACTTCACAGAACCAAACATTAAAATATGCAGGCAGAGAAAATAAACACTCTCCCCAAAATGTCACGTAAAGGAAATAAGCACAATATAGATAAAATGAAAATCTAAATTCATAACCATATTACTTTGGTATTTGGAGTTGTTTTTGCCAAAGATTTGTGCCTCTTCTTATAAAAATTCGGATTCAACAAAGATAAGAGAGATAGAAAAAACAAATCAAGATGGAGATTTTGCAGAGTGACAATGGTGATGGCAAAGCAAAGTAAATACTGGAATCGTTAGCAGAGTGACAATGATGAAGAAATATGGGTAAAAATTCCATAGTAAATGTACAAGACAAAGACATAATTAAATCCACAAAAATGTAAACCTAAATCCCCGATATTCAAATAAAAAATTACTGCATCTGTGAATGATCTCCAAACTGCCATGTCCGAGATGCAATTTTGTATGATTTGCATAATCCATTTTGATGTAAAATCGTAAAAATCCATAGATTTAGGAGTTGGCGAATTAATAATATGCAGAGATGAAACACAGAGATGATATACAGTGAAATAGCTCTGAAAAAATGCAGCTGAAAATATTCAAGAAGAACTCCATGAAACCATGCCAAGGGTAAATTGAATTCGTACCTTGCTGTGAATGGTTGATTGAAACCACTCTTTTTTATTTAGAGTTGCTGAGAATGGAAGAGGCTTTCAGTGAGAGAGATTCCAGAGTCCACGGAATCTAGGGTTGTTAAGTTTGGGGATTTAGGGTTGCTGAATTTGGGGATTTAGGGTTGCTGAGTGAGGAAGCTGATTGTTGTTCTCGGGGGAGAGAGGGATGAAGCTCACAGTAGAGAGAGAGGCGAGGAGGCTCACCAGAGAGAGAGAATGGGAGGAGGCTCACGGGAATTGGAGAGGGTGGAAGCAGGGTCACGGGGGAGAGAGAGAGGGATGCCAGAGTTTAGGTACAGAGAGATGGTTTCACCGAGGTGAGAGTTTTGGTATAGGGAGTGATTCCGTGCGCAGGCTAAAGAAAGAGCGTTAGTACGCACAGTTACTAGTTGTTTGTTGCCTTACGAAACCATAGCCGTTCGATTTTAAGAACAAATAAGAGCCGTTCGGCTCACTTTTTCTCTGTCGGCAAGATGGCGAGTTCGGCTCACTTTTTTTTCCGTAGGCAAGATGGCTCATCAAATCATTTATTTATTTATTTATATATATATATCCACGGGTATTAGTCATTTTGGATTTATATTTCTTTTAAAAACTTAACACTATCAATCTCAATCCCACATAATAATATGATATTTCTTTATGTCGGGTGATTTTGGATATCATCATCTCCAACATAAAAAAATAGTATTGTATGATCGCTATGGAGAACACGAGTTGTGGCTATACTAGGAAAGTTAAAATTGAGAAGGGAGATAAGTTATTACAAAAATCAAATAAAACAATTTATTGATCTTTCAAATTTAGAAGAATAATTAACTTTTTATCTACAAATAAAAGAGTAAAACAAAAGCATTTATTTTTCAGCTGAGTACCTCAAAACTGAACAATAGATTTGAAATTGAAAAAATTCAATGAGTCTAATTAACACGCAAAAGTTATCATTAATCAAATTACTATTTGAAAGGAATCTAAATCCCAAGTCCCGCTATCTTATTGCGGTTTGTATCTTCATTTTGGGTTCTATTTGCTTGAGGGATTTCGAACGGGTTCTCTGTACCATGGGTTCTATTTGCTTGAGGGATATCGAACCGGTTCTCTGTACCATGGGTTCATTTGTACATTTGATGGGTCTAGAACAGTGATTTTGGGTTCTATTTGCTTGAGGTATATCGAACCGGTTCTCTGTACCATGGGTTCATTTGTGCATTTGATGGGTCTAGAACAGTGATTTAAAAAAATCGGGCCAAATCGGGAACCGCCCGGTTCTACATCAAAACTGTCAGTTCTGAGCAATAAACGGCCTATACGATGTCATAAACCGGGGGGAATAGGTCACATGACATCACACTCTTCGATTAACAGTCACACATGGCAAGCCTTCAACCCTTCTGTCACATGTGGCAAGCCTTCAAGCCCACAGCATCGCAGCCCCGCATTTTCATAGGTACGTTTAATGAGGTACAACAAAATTATTTATATCACTAAATTTGATACTCATTCTTGAATGTAGGATAATTCCCATAAATTTGATATTCATTCTTGGATGTGGGATGATTCTCATAAATTTGATACTTATTCTTGGATGTGGGATAATTCTCACAAAGTGCATTAAATTAAAATAAATGTTGAATAAGTATCATTAATATTGAAAGTTAATATACTTGCTATGTGGCTTTATGGTTATCGCTTTCTCTTAATTGACCTACATCTTAGGTTTGAACCCCAGTTCAGGTGTGCTATATTATTTTATTTTTGTTGTAAAAAAATAAAAAATAAGCAACAAATATTGAACCCCAGTTCTTGCTATATTATTTTATTTTTGTTGTAAAAAAAAAAAACACTAAGCAGAAAATAATGTTGTTAAAAATATATATATATTCCATTTGAAATTATCTCTTTCTATTAACGATCTTTTTAACTAAATTAATTCTAGAATCTAAAAAATTAAAGTGTTGTTTTGAAAATTGGTACACATTCAAATAATTTTTATATTGATAACCAAATTTTTATTTTATTTATTAATTTTGCATTATAAATCATGTAATATACTATTTTTGTTGTAAAAAAAATAAGAAATAAGCAGAAAATAGTGTTGTTAAAAAACAAATTATTTCATTTGAAATTCTATCTTTCAATTAACAATATTTTTTACTAAATTTATTCTAGAATCTAAAAAATTAAAATTTTGAAAAATTGAAGTGTTGTTTTGAAAATTGATACGCATTCAAATAATTCCTATATTGATGACCAAATTTTTATTTTATTTATTAATTTTTGCATTATAAATCATGTAATGTACTATTTTTCTTACAGTTGTCAATAATATATTTTAAATTAGATGATATTATAAAATATTTTGGATTTGATATTGTTTGTATAATAAAATATTTATAAAATGTTAACCAACAATTTTAATTTTAGTATATAATATTATAGTTAGTTAGGTTGTAATAATTTTGTATTATAGTTAGGTTGTAATAATTTGAGTCGGATTAGGGTTTTCCGTCAATTCGAGATTTTAGCGGCCATTTTGTTATCGATTTAGTCTACTTTTTATTGTAGTCTATGTATGATTGATATACTTTATCCATGATAATTTTATGATTTTTCTTTTGTGTGATGTAAATTTAATGGTTAACATAAGTTTATATAAGGAAAGAACATCTCAATATTCACAAATTGATGAAAAAAATGAAAGTTAAAAATGTAGTTCTCTCGTCTTTTATTAGATTCCCAAAAGACAACATTTATAACGAATTTTAATAATTTTTTTGGATTTTTTTAAAACTTAATCCTACTAAGTCAGACGATTCCCGATCCGAATCGTTGATTCACCGATCCAAATGGGTTTTTGAAGTACCCAAGGGCACCAATCTGTATTTTAAACCACTGGTCTAGAATGAAGAAGTCAAGCAGCCAAAGAGAGGTGGGTTGTAGAGAGAGAGAGGAGAGGAGAGGTGTGGGCAGAGGGACAAGTAGTCAATCTGGACCGCCGGTTGCCCCAATGCAAATCTCGATGAAGCCCTAATCTAGATGGCCCCCACCTTATTTGAAAGGTAAACGATATCTCTCAGGACATTCCCTTTAAAATATTACTCCGCCAATCTTTGGTGAGCGTCCAAATGGAGTTGGCGATCTCAATTTAGATAATAATCAAGATTTTGTGGATTAACTGAATTTCGATGAAAAAAAGATGGAATCCAATGAAAATCAATAGGTGTTTGTATTATATTTTACTAAATTTATATATATTTAATGGATTTTAATTAATTTTATAATTTTTGTCTTATTGTAAAATCAAATTTCTCAAAAACAATGGAATGTATAATTTAAATGTAAAAATTTTTGTATTGTAAATTAATTGTATAAAGTTATTAATTTATTTATTTTTATAAGTTTAA